GAATTTAGGTTTTTGAAGCAACATTTCTGAAAAATGGAAAATGGGGTAGAAATGGTTGATGGTTCTGTTATTGTAGACGATAAGGTTGTGGAAGAAAAAGTTGCCAATGAAAAAGTGGAGAAGAGGGTTGTTGATGGTTCCGATGAAATAAAGGATGTAGAAGAGGAGGTTTTTGAGGAGGCAATTGGAACACAAGAGGGTTTGCAGGAGCAGACAGAAAAATCTGGACAGGGGGACGGCAGTGTAGCTGCTGATGCAAATGGAAATGGTGAGACAATCAGTGACGTTGGTTCAGAGGAAGTTCAGGAGAATTCAAATTCAGAGCTTGAAGCTGAGACGTTTGAAGAGGCTGTTGGGGTTCCAAGTGAGGTTGAACCTCTCGAGGATGTGTTTCCAAGTGAGATTGGACTGAAGGAGGATTTGGTTCCAAGTGAGGTTGAACCTAAGGAGGATATAGTTCCAAGTGAGGTTGGACCTAATGAGGATGCAGCAGTGTCAGTGGAGGAACTGTTGGGTGGGGAGAGTGTTGGTGATAGTGTGGTGTCTGAATAATGATTGAATGAGGGAGGGACTGGAATGGGAGCAGGGACTGATGAATTGAGTGGTGGAAAGGAGTTACCTGAAATCAGTGGTATTGGAGAAACAGAGGTCCTGAGGAATGAGGGTGAAGGAAATATGAAGTCTGATACAGTAATTGAGAAGCCTGTAAATGGAGATTCTGATAAGGTATATTTGGAGGGAACATTGGCAGACCAAAGTTTGGAAACTTTGGAAGCTGATGAGGTGGGGAAGGATGTAAAAATGGAAACCAAGTTGGAGGTTTGGCGTCGAGAGGTTAGGGGTGAGGAATCAAGGGAGGATGCACTGGCTACTGATTATGAAGACAAAAAGGTGGGGGAATCTGCTGATACTTCAGCTGGCCTGATTGTCAAGCTTCAAGATGATGAAGTTGCATTGAATGACAAGTCAGCTAACCTTGACAAAGGAGATCAGGGAAAAGAGAGTACAGAAGTAAAAGGTGCCACAGCTGATCTTAATCCAGTAGATGGTGGAGATGAGGGTGAAAAAGCAAATAATGCTTTGGCTACTGTGGAGATGGAAGATAATAGGTATAGAGAAGTAAAAGAATCATCAGATGCATGGGGTATAAAGTATAACGGTGAGATTGATGAACTGAAAGATATGTTGTCTGAGTTGAGTACATCTGTGGGAGGGACAGATGCATCTGAAAATGGGAACTTATCTTCTTCAGAAAAGTTTTCAGATGAGAGGAATGTGAAGATTGAGGCTGGTAAAACTGATTTGAGAACAGAGGTTCATGATGGTTCTCAATCTGAGCTCCCTAATGAGATGGTGGATAAAGTTCAAGATATTCATTCTGTGACAGAAGAACCTGAAAAGAAAGTGGAGAAAGATCAGGAAGATAAGCAAAGCATCCAAATGACCTTAGAGCATCAAGTGCAACATGCTCCAGGATCTTCTTTGCCTGAAAAAGCTGAAGAATCTGGAAAGAAAGCAGATACAGATCAGGAGCTGAAGCAAAGCAACCCTGTGATTAGAGAACGTGAAATTTTACCTGATCCAGTGCCTTCATCTGTAAAATCTACAAACTCTGCTGCTCCTCCTTCTCGTCCCGCTGGCCTTGGGCGTGCTGCTCCGTTGTTGGAGCCTGCTCCTAGGGTGGTCCAACAGCCTCGTGTAAATGGCACTGTCTCTCAGGCACAGACACAACAGACTGAAGACCCTGCTAATGGGGATGCTGAGGAGGGTGATGAGACTCGGGAAAAGCTTCAGTTGATTAGAGTTAAGTTTTTGCGGCTTGCACATAGGCTTGGGCAGACTCCCCATAATGTTGTTGTGGCACAGGTTTTGTACAGGCTAGGATTGGCTGAGCAGCTCCGGGGGAGGAATGGGGGCCGTGTTGGTGCCTTCAGCTTTGACCGTGCTAGTGCTATGGTTGAGCAGCTTGAGGCAGCTGGAAATGACCCCTTGATTTCTCTTGTACAATTATGGTGCTTGGAAGACGGGAGTTGGTAAAAGTGCCACTATTAATTCGATATTTGATGAGTTAAGTTTGGTACTGATGCTTTCCAGACAGGTACAAAGAAGGTTCAGGATGTTGTGGGTACCGTACATGGGATTAAGGTACGTGTGATTGACACACCAGGCCTTCTGCCTTCCTGGTCTGACCAACGCCCAGAATGAGAAGATCCTTCACTCTGTTAAACATTTCATCAAGAAAACACCTCCAGATATTGTGTTGTACCTTGATAGATTGGACATGCAAAGCCGGGATTTTGGTGATATGCCCCTATTGCGCACTATCACTGAGATCTTTGGACCATCTATTTGGTTTAATGCGATTGTGTTCTGACTCATGCCGCTTCTGCTCCACCAGATGGTCCTAACGGTACTGCTTCTAGTTATGACATGTTTGTTACTCAACGCTCTCATGTTGTCCAGCAGGCTATTCGTCAGGCTGCTGGGGATATGCGGCTCATGAATCCTGTTTCATTAGTGGAGAACCACTCTGCATGTAGGACAAATAGGGCAGGCCAGAGAGTGTTGCCAAATGGTCAGGTGTGGAAGCCTCATTTGTTGTTGCTCTCTTTTGCATCTAAAATTCTGGCTGAAGCAAACACCCTTTTGAAGTTGCAAGATACTCCTCCAGGAAAGCCTTTTGCTACTCGAACGAGAACACCTCCTTTACCTTTCCTTCTTTCGTCTCTTCTTCAATCAAGACCGCAAGTTAAGTTGCCTGAAGAGCAGTATGGTGATGACGATGGTTTAGATGATGATTTAGATGAATCCTCAGACTCTGAGGATGAATCAGAATATGATGAGTTGCCACCTTTCAGGCGGTTGACAAAGGCCCAGATAGCAAAGCTTACTAAGGCTCAGAAAAAGGCATATTTTGATGAGTTAGAATATAGGGAAAAACTTTTTATGAAAAAGCAACTGAAGGAAGAGAAAAAGCGGCGAAAGATGATGAAGAAAATGGCTGCTGTAGATAAGGATCTGCCAAGTGAGTATAATGAAAATGCAGAAGAGGAAAGTAGTGGTGCTTCTTCTGTTCCAGTTCCCATGCCAGATTTGGCATTGCCTGCTTCTTTTGATTCTGATAATCCTACTCATCGGTACCGTTACCTTGACAACTCCAACCCGTGGCTTGTAAGGCCTGTTCTGGATACTCATGGTTGGGATCATGATGTTGGTTATGAAGGTATTAATGTAGAAAGGTTGTTCGTAGCTAAAGATAAAATTCCCATATCATTTTCTGGCCAGATTACGAAGGACAAAAAGGATGCTAATGTCCAAATGGAACTAGCCAGTTCTTTAAAGCATGGGGAAGGTAAAGCAACTTCATTAGGTTTTGATTTGCAGACTGTTGGAAAGGACTTGGCCTACACTCTGCGCAGTGAGACAAGGTTTAGTAATTGCAGGAAGAATAAGGCAACAGCTGGCATCTCAGTTACACTCTTAGGGGATGCAGTATCAGCTGGAGTGAAAGTTGAAGACAAATTGATTGCTAATAAGCGGTTCCAGGTAGTCATGACTGGGGGTGCCATGACTGGTCGTTGTGATCTTGCTTATGGGGGCAGTTTGGAAGCACAATTGAGGGACAAGGATTACCCTCTGGGTCGCTCTTTGTCTACACTTGGGCTTTCTGTCATGGATTGGCATGGAGATCTTGCTATTGGATGCAATGTACAGTCGCAGGTCCCTGTTGGACGGTCTACAAACTTGATAGCACGAGCCAATTTGAATAACAGAGGTGCAGGACAAGTCAGTATACGAATAACCAGCTCAGAGCAGCTTCAGATCGCTTTGATTGCGCTCCTTCCTTTATTGAAAAAGCTACTTGATTATCCCCAACAAATGCAGTATGGACAATGATGAAAATTAGGTTTACATTTGTGCAATAGCATCCAATGCGGTGGTAGGACAAATTTTTAAATATGGCCATCTCCAGTGGTCTTCAAGAGTGAGTGAAAGTAAGGTGCTGAAATTTCTATATGTTTCCAACTTTTTTTTTCTAATTTCAACAGTATCATCGTGGATTATAGTGATTGTAGTTTCCTTGTTAGATATTTGGCATAAGGATTTTTTTTGTTCCCATGAAACCATGGTCAAGAATTGCTTCTTTTCAATCGTTCCTCTTGCCTATATTCTATTTCTTCTGTGAGTGCGGAAAACTGATTCATCTTGAGTTTTGTTCATTCCATTCCCGACCGCTTCTGTTTTTTGGCAAACATGATGGTGTTGGGGCTGAGCGACAGCTAGATACTTGTCAAAAGAAGAGAGTTATATCATCAATATCAGTGTGTCAAATTTGTTAGCAATTTCTTTGATATTTCATGCTAGAAGATAAAAGAAGAATACTGCAGAAAATCTCTGTTTAACTGAGTTTAAGGCTGCGGATTAGGGAATGTATTGATTTGCGTAATCTCCTCATCACAAGTCAATGTTTAAATCTCCAACTCCCTTAGACTTGAATATGCACCGTGCCCATTACTCAATTGGATAGGAAGAATAAGCATTACAAGTATTAAAGATTAATGACTGTATATTGAAAATACCAAGTCAAGAACATGTCATAAGTTAGAAGTTAAAAACTATTAGAAGAAAAAGATACTTAGTTAATGAAACCTTAAGACAAACTTAAATCTAAGAAAAATGCAGAAAAGATAAAATAAGCCAGGAAAGCAAGCTCTGTACCAAAATAAACAAGAAGAGGAGCAATTCTCCATGGAAATCTCAACTTTTGAGGTCTCATGTTGATTCTTTTGCACTAGACGCGCAATGATGAAAATCTGCCTTTTTCTGTTGAGGGTAACTCATACCCTATTGGAGAGTGGAATGACTCTCTTGAAAATTTGTTGAAGGGATGCGTTGCATTGTGGGAAATCTCCTGCAAACGGAGATAAGGTGTGCTCTGGGAAAAGGTAAGGGTGGCGTAATAGCATACTAGCTGTCCACCTTTGGTTTGGATCCCTAGCAAAGCACTTCATTAAGAAATCCTTACCCATGCTTGACATGTTTTCTAAGATGTTTGCTGACTCTCCCCACAAAAGCTTGTCCCTCAAATCCATTAGATTACGATAAGCCCATGGCAATCTCCCATTAATCATCTGAAGGATTATGCAACCCAGTGAGCATACATCCAATGCACCAGTGATATTCTCAATGTTGGATTCAAGAGACATTCAAGGTTCAGTACCTCGAAACCCACATCGCTAAACTTTTGTATCTTAAAGGAGGTAAACCAATATCATCTTGAGAAGGAAAAACCAGAATATTACCTGGTTTGGACTCAGAATGGATGTATCCTTTTCAGTGAATCTCAACAAGGCCTTCAAGTGTCATCTGTGCGTAACATTTAGCATCTCGTTTTGGTATTTAATTTAACCGTCATACTTTCTTCATCAAATGCAATAGACTTTCTCCCGAAGCATATTCAAGAAACATGTTGTAGAGGCTTCTTTCATCTTGCACACTAATAATGGGGGAATCAATAAACTGTTGAAGGATTTCCTCTTCGTTCTAAGAGAAGAAGACATTGCTCCATCGGCAGATTGTACAGCATAAAATTGAGAAGTGGGAATTTTTGTTTTCATAAAATGTACGACACCTTATGATCCCTTTCCAAGAACCTTAATCTTCACTCCTTTCACCTCCATTCTCTCTGTTAACTAGAAGAAGTCATGCTGTTATTAAAGCATCCTAAAAGTCCTGTGCAGTATACATAAACAATAATTACAAAAGACCCAATCTGCAAAACACCTTACCAGAGAAAATTCAACCCTTGCATACCCTCATAATCCTTCCTATTTAATGGTATCACAAGTACCGTCTCAGCCAAATTCCAGAAAACAAACAAATAGCAGACTGGCACCTGCAAGTTATAAACAGACACTAGATTATCCCACGTATGTATCCCAGATATGTCAAACAAATGCAGAACTCTTCCTGCAAAAACCATCAAACCCAAAATTCATTGAATCAAATCGAAACCTCGAACATGATAATCCAAAAAGATGGAAGACAGAAAAACTACTGATGCTGCAACAACCGTGCCTTAAGCGAACCCCCAGGGAAGGGAGCAAAATCGTGATCGGGAGTTCACAGAAAATTCCACAGCGAGAAGGCATGTTGGCTGATGTGAAGATCAAGCAAAAGGAAGAAACGGGACTTTACCTAAGACTTTTCATTTTATGGCTTTTCAGATTGGATGTCGAAGTAAGAACCAGGTATATATGTGTTCTGTTCTGGGTATTAATAGCTATCTCCAAACAACGTCAGCTGTGCATATATTAATCAGAGGTAAGAAGTGAGAACCAAGATGATTGCTCCACAACCATCTAGGGTATTCGTACGTCTGAACTCAAGCTATACATAGAAAATAATTAGAAAACAAAAACTGCAGATGCTGAAGCTATACCATTTGTTTGATTGGTAGGGTTTGGGAAATCAAAGCTAGCTAATCCAGATGGATATGAGAACTATAAGTTATCCTTATCACATTGACAAAGAAAATTGAAATCATCAGAATTAACTTATCCAGCTGAATCAACTTTCAAAGTCGTCAAACTGAACCAAGGATAAGCAATTGAATTGGGCACGCCAGCAGGGGAAGTTGGAAGTGGTAAGTTTAATGGGCTAATGATAGGTGAAGAGGAGGATGTTGCCATGGTGATTCGAAGACGGGATTATAAAAACATAAAAACAATTGATTCCCTAGAACAAATGAGGCTCTAATACCATATGACAAATATAAGAGAGAATTGAATTTATGATTAAGGATGGTGTTGTAGCCTTGCCTCTACTCTGAATTTATAATACATGGCAAGTCTCTTAGATAAGAGGATATACCTCGTATGAGATTACATCAAATCATAGATAGGCTAGGATAAGATTATATCAAAGTACATGATAAGTATATAAAAGTTATCTTAGATTAAATTCTAAATGTTGTGATTGTGAAGATTGGTTTAATTGCTTATTCTTGATTGATTTCGATGACTTTGACGATTGATTCAATTCCTTATTCTTAATTGATTATGAACTTTATTCTATCAAATAATAGATTTTCCTTGAAATTTTGCTAAGAATTAATTTTCATAAAATGTAGAGAAATCTTGAACATTATAGCTATTTGGAGTTGTAATCCATTTTCAAGAAGGATATTTATTTACTTGTCTGAGAGAGACAGACATGCACACACGTGAAGCACTGAAGACAGTGGAAAGAAAATGTAACTCTTCTCTTGTTTTCATTAATTAAAGTGATATAATTTACGCATGATTTTGATTTTTGAAGCCATAGTATTATGGAAAATTGAGTTGAAGATGGACTTTTTCTGCCACTCTGTGAACCCACAGTGAAATCCCAGTGAAGTTGAGTGATCATCGACCATGTATTTTTTGGCTTTATGTTTAGCCTGTTACCTTGTGACTTGTGAGTATCAACAATTATGGAAGCTTCAAGCTATGTACAATTATACATGCTAGCTTGGTTATGCTGTTGTTTATATTTATTGAATATTTTATATTTGATTCTTTTGACTATAAACTCCTTTTTTTATAAACAAATTAAAGTTAATACATATGCAACGTTTTATTTTTATTTTTAGAGAAGGGAATTCGACTATATAGATAACAAGGGTTTTGATACAGTTTATGACTATGTGTTCTATGATGTTCCATCACTTGATATTAGAAATTTTTTGATGAATAATATGTTGGAAACATGTTTCCCTTGTTTGATTAGAATTTAATAAATTCTGATTTTTTAAAAAAATTATCTTTATTTTCTTTGTGTTTTTAAGCACATGTCAATATTGAATTATTGATGCAATCAAGTGATAGAAAAATTAAAGAAATCAAAATTTGTTAACCATTATCAGATATCTTTTGTGTTTGTGTAAATACTTTACATATATATATTTAATTTTTTAAAATACCAATATTTCATTGAAAAATCAAGCTTCAATATCTATGGCGTCAAAATTTTTAATTATAATATTGAATATGCAATTGGAAAATAAAATTTTAATTATAAAATAGCATTAAAAAAATTTCTTTTGTATAAGAACTTATTTGTCAATTATAAATAAAATTCTATAAAAAATCAACAAAATTAACATTCAAATTCATTAGCTCTTTATTGGACAATTCAATGAGAATCTAACTTAAAAAGTCTTGGTTTTAATCCTAGGATGGAACAGAGGATGGGCTTATGGAATAGTAGAAAATTACCTCTCATTGTTTATTCAAACTTATATATATATATATTTCAAAAATAAAAATTCAACATCATTATTTTTTTATTAAAATTAATTAAAATTATAATAATTTAATAAAATTATCTCACACCTTTCTCTTTCTTTCGCCCTGATTTAACGTAAAGGTGTTCATAATTTAGGTTGGGTCCGATTAACACATTTAAGACTTAGGTTCGACTTAATTTGTTAATTTAAATTAAATTTTTTTATTAAAATATTAATATTTTATATTTTAAAAAGTATTTTAGAATTAAAATTAAATAAAATAATGTCTTGGGCCTAACCAAGTATTAGAAGGTCTTATAGGTATCTCCAATCATTATTATTCCACAACCATATAAAAAGAGAACAAAGTGCATCCAAAAGGTTAAAAGAAAGAAAAATCAATCTGCCAACATTGCATTGTGGCCTTTTCTTTTGATATGGAGACAAGAACAAGCTTAAGCCACCATCACTTTAATAGTGTATCACTACAACATTGTACTCGATGAGAGCATTACCGGTGGTAGTGTTGAATTCAAGTAACTTCGCTGACGCAATTCCACGTGCCAGTCGGAAAACGCCTGAGCCGCCTATGATCGGCATCTCACGGTGTGGCACAGCCGGGTTCCTGCCCAAAACGGTCAGAGTGCTGCCGTTGTACTCACCGCTTGTGAAAACCAAGTTCATGGCCATCAGCAGACTCAGTTCCTCTTGCCCAGAAAACGCGTACAGTCCTTGAGCTCGACCCAGTTCTTTGGTCGTGGGTTTGAGCCCTTCTGTTAATGGGTCATCCATGATGAAAACTAGACCAAATGCAGTTGGCGATTTGGCAGTGCTGGATGCATGGGCAACCCGCACCGCAGATACGTTCTTTCCTGCAAATCTGTCGTGAAAGAAGAAATGGAGCTTGGTTATCTTTTCCTTTGCATGAGGCAGCTTACGGAACCATTCATCCACTTCCTCCGGTCCTTCAAGGCTGCAATGCCCCATTGGCATGGCTAGCAAGAAAATCATCATTAGAGCAGCAAGCTTTTCCATTATAGTTACTCTCTGTTCCCCTTTTGCGTCCAAAAATGAAGCCTGGGCAATGCTTTATATACTTGAGGAAATTCAGCAACTTGGCATTAACACCTTTCAGGTGGAACTTGGAAGCATTTGACCTTTTTTTTAAAAAATTTATTTTTGTAAAACCCAAGAATTGGTATGACGAAGTAATTTGCTTATTTATGTACGTGTATATGTTAATATATATACACACAAGAACAAAAGTTCTCGGCTTCTATTTGATATATTTTTCACATGTTCAACAAATTTTTTATATTAACATCATTTTTATCATTAGATTATTTATTTTATCATTAAAATTTATGGTTTATGGTTTAAGATTTAGAGATTAAGGTTTTTAGTTAATAATAAGGTTAGACATTTGATACTAAGTGGGGAAGAAGATTTCTATTGGTATATGTATATACCAAATTCAAATTTGTATCTGTATGTAAATATTTTTAGTCTATTGTTTACACAATAATTAATTGAGAATGCAGACCTAAAAAGCACCAAATACTAATTTATTCTGCATGTGTTACACCTGCTCCACTACAAATGTTTTATCCTTTTTTTATCAATAGTGTGACTGGTCATGTTGGGTTGGGTGAGAGTTTGTTGATGATTTTTTGTTTGTGGTTTTGTTTTAATTTTGTTCAATAACATATTTTTTTTAGACCAAACTTGTTTGAATTTCGTATCTCGTGTTGGTAATCTCTAATAAAATTGCATTTTTTTTGTCCATTAAATTCTCAACTTATTATTTTATATCAAATGAATCAGATGAAAGATATCGACATAGTTAATTATATAATTAATCACTTGTATTAACACCCATGTAGATAAAATTAGATGATAAGACATTCATAGAAACAAAAACTAGTTGACATGAAAACTCATGGACTGAGTTTATCATATCTTGGTTACCTTTTCCTTTGCACATGGAACCATTCATTCACTTCTGCAGACCCTTCAATGCTGTATTGCCCCTTTGGCACGGCTGCCAAGAAAATCGTAATTAGAGCAGCTAGCTTTCCCATTTGCTTCTCTCTGTTTCCATTTCACATCCAAAAATGAAATCCCGGTTTTATATACTTGGGAAAGCAACTGCTCAGGAGATGCCAGCTTTTGCATTTTTGACTTCCCCTTTTAAATTTATCTTTGTTAATAAATTTCCTTTCCAAGGCATGGGTTGGTATAGTAGGTGGCAGTTCGTGATCCCAATTGTCCAATCCGATTGGTCTTTGCAACCTGTCTACAACCAAAAATGGTCACAATTTTTTTACTCAAAAATACCTAGTGGCGTTATCTCTTTATTCGCTGGTTTCATTATCAGATAAGAGTGATCAAATGAGGATGGTAACAAGACAAATCCAAGCTGTAGTTGGGCGAGTATTATGCATGTGCACGTTCATGATTTTGTTCAACAGAAGATTCTCCAGAAACATTGCTTCCAATTCTATAAGTTAATGCAAAAAATTTCTGTTCACATTCAAAATACTCCTATTTAGTCATATGTTAAAGAAGACGGACATAGAAGCATAACATTTTCTAAATTTGCTTGGAATTAATGTACAAAAAAATCATATGAAAATATATTTCAAATACTTGAGGTAATTTCTTGCCGTCCTGCCCTGGCCGTTGCATGCAAAAATACACATACCTCAACAATGGAAAATTTGAAAGCAAGCCATCGTCACTAATTATTAATAATGAATCACTACAACATGGTATTCGGCGATAGCGTCACCAGTGGCAGTGTTTAGTGAACGTGTTTTGACTGTTGCAATCCCACGTGCCAATCGGAAAACGCCTGTGCCGCCTATGATCGGCATCTCTCGGAGTCTATGAAACACTGGATTCCTGCCCAAAATGGTAAGAGAGCTTCCGTTGTACTTACCACTGGTGAAAACCAAGTCCATGGCCATAAGCAGACTCACTTCTTCTTTCCCAGCTGACCCATACAATCCTTGAGCCCGACCCAACTCTTTGGATGTGGGTTCGGGCCCTTCTGTTAATGGGTCACCTATAACGAATACTACACCAAAAAAGGTAGGCTATTTACCACAGCCGGATGCTTGGGCAACGCGCACTGCAGTTAGGGTTCTTCCCTGAAAGCGTGTCCTGAAAGTAGAAATGGAGCTTGCTTACCTCCTCTTCTGTGTAAGGAAGCTAATGGAACCAATTATAAACTTCCTCGGGCCCTTCAGTACTGCAATGACCCATTGGCATCACTATTGCCAACCAGCAAATCACTAGAGCAGCAAGCTTTTCCATTGCTTTCTGCTCACCTTTTGCAACCAAATATGAAGTCTAGTCATTCTTAATTTATACACTCGAGAAATATAACTTGGAAGGTGCCCTTCTCAGTGCAATCATCAACCTTTTCATTATTCTAAACTTAATTGTTTAATTTGATTTGTTAATGTCATAATTTATGACATAGATTTGTATTTTATGTACCAGTTCTTGATGTCAATTGTCCAATCCGATTGGTCAAGTAACGTGTTGAGACTGAGCTGGTACTGTGCATGGGGGACGCAACCAATTATGCTCATCTGTTTTTTCCTCCCTCGAAACTACCTACTGTGATTCTCTTTCGCTGTTTCACAAGATGCAGTATCAATTGGAAGAACAAGACAAAAGGCAAGCGCGGCAGTTGGTCACATGCAATGTCCATGCGTAATTAGCATGGCAAAAATTTAAACGAAAAAGGCTCTCCAGAAAACTAGCTAGTTTCAATTTCTCTAATCTTAACATAAATAGGTTTCACAGTTGATTAATTAATTTGTTCACTTTCCAATTTGGACAGTGTGTTCAGATCTGTTAAATGAGGCAGAATATCCTAAAAAGTTTCCAAATGTACTTTAATTGAGCCAAAATTTTGAGTGTTAAAAATTGAGTAATTGAGTGTTAAAAAGTGATAAAAATTTTGATTAGTGAATAGAAATCCTCTACTTATACTTACTGTCTCGTATGATATTTTTTTTCATAATTTTGTGTCACTGGTCTAGTTTTATGCTATCAACAAAATATTTTAACTCCTAAATTTAAATTAACAAAATATTTAAAAAAGCTCTTGAATTATTTTAAAAAATTTAAATAAACCCTTAGTCATTTTTTGTATTTAATTAAGTCTTTATATTCTTAGTTTAGACTAAACAAGACTCTATGACTAATGATTAAATAATTATTATTAATCAAAATTCTATTATCATTTTATGTGGTATGTTGATATATCATAGTGGATGATCATGTGACATGTTAACGTGATATGATGATATGGTAGGTAATATTTTTATATTTCACGTTAGTATCATATGAATATAAAATGAAAAGTAACATTTTGATTAATAACAGTTAATCAACCGTTAATTATGAAGACTTATTTAATTAAAATTAAAAATATATGAATTTAATTGAATGTTATAGAAGAATAATATTTTATTTAATTTTTTTAAAATAGTTGAGAAACTTTATAAAGTATTATGCTTTGATATCTTAAATTTTAAATTTTAATATAAAAAATTTATTAAGTATTTGATGTAAAATAAAAAAATGACATCTAATGAGGGTAAAAGATTTTTGTTCACGTGTTGCACGTTGGGGGGGGGTGGTTGGTTAATGAAAATGTTTTTCTCTAAGCTGAAGAAGAAACCCATGATTCGAATTAGTATAATAATTTACAATGTTTAAAAGTCTTAATTGCGTGGTTTACACCCTGAATTATATATTGGTAGCAGAGCCGAGCGGTGCAAAAACACTCCTCTTCTGCTGCTGTCAATTTGTCAACTGCTAGAAGCAAAATCTACCACCTAATTGGTTTGACCCATCGAAGAAGTGATTGACTTTCACGTGAAAACCGTCTCGCAATTTCTGATTATTTGGTCTTTTTCAAACGTTGTTTAATCCAAACCGATCGAGCATTTCATGGAGATTACATTTAGTTCTAATAATTTAATTTTGGGGAATTGAATGATTATGTTAACTCTAATCTGGCAAGTAACAGGGGCCAAATCATGACATCAAATAAGCAAAACAAAATGAAATTGAGGTGTCTTGTCGGACTTATATTCATGAATCATTGCGGTCATCCTCTTCGTCAATGTTTCTAATAACAAAACTGAAAAACAAAAGCAGCGAACAGCTTAAGTAGGTAATAATGTAACTGAAATGAAAAGCATGAGTTTCATTAATCAATCTATATACATAAGCATCCCCGCGTGTGAACTGTTGGCCAGTGAAATCTGAAAAGTATAATGAATACTTTTGGAGCAATTTGTGATGAAAGGAAGTGTAGTTTACTTCTGGCAAGACAGAATGTTGGACTGCATGGAAAGTACTAATGAATATGTTTTCTTGTTAATAATAGAACTCCCACAGCTTCAGGGCATCGATATTTCAAACGGAAGTTTATGATTAGGTTGCCAAACTACTGTGTGTAACGTATTAAAATGAAAAAGCACATTGCCATAAATGATAAGGTGTAATATTTTATTTAGTACAACAAGCAAGAGCAAAACACTGTAACTCAACGATGAAACAAAAGAAATGCAAATAAGGTATATATGTAAGTTAGACATAGTGAACAACGGTAACATTGTAGCTAACTATAGCATCACCGGTTGTAATATCCAACCAATGAGTTTTTGCGATTGCGTATCCACGTGCCAGCCGGAAAAGACCGGTTCCACCGACAACGGGCATCTCACGAACAGGAGTCAAAGCTGAATTTTTGCCGAGAATGCTTATAGAGCTACCATCGTATTTTCCGTCTGTGAAGCAAAAGCTCATGGCCATGATTAGGCCTAGCTCTGTCTGCCCAGCTGACCCGTAAAGCCCTTGGGCTCGACCAAGCAGCTTGGAGTTGGGATCGGGCGACTCGGTCAGTGGATCATCTGCCATTAGAATGGCTCCAAAAAGAGTAGGAGATTTTTCAGTGTCAGGGGCTTTAGCCACCCTGATGGCACTAGGGTTCTTACCACTGACTGTGTCATGGAAGTAGAATTGAAGATTGGTCACCATCTCTTGTTTGCCCTCGACCCTTGCTGCCCAGCTCTGTACGCGGAAGCTTTGAGCCCATGGCATTGCTGCAGCTAGGGAGATGATCAATAGAATGCCGCCTAACTTGGCCATCTTCACTTACTTTTTCTCTCTCTCTGGCACAGATTGGAGCCGATCTCTATCAAATATTTGAGGCAAATCTCCCAACTCTCAGGCAGAAAATGAAGGGAAAAGAAGCTAAAGAAACCTTACTTTTGAAGAATTTGCCATTTTACAAGATCTTTTATAGGCCAGAAGAAAAAGATTCAAAGGCAGGTTAACTACAACATAGGAAAGAGATTTAACTTGTTTATTTAATGGGGCCACATGTTCTGAAAGAGTTGACACTTACAATTAACATGGCAGAGGTCCTGGTCCTAATTTTTGTCGTTGGTCTCCGACCCATAAACAGTAATGGACTTGTCTCCTAAGCTTGCTTCTGAAATTTATCTATATATAGGATAAACTAACCTTGCGAACATATTTTCATTTTCATTTTCATTTGTAATTTTTTATACAGATATGATCATATAAAAAGACTGTTCTCGATATAAACATTTTCAAAAAACTTATTTGAAATAATACTAATACTTTTTGACATTAGCAATATTAAATCTTATTATCAAAAGAGGTTATCTCAAGTTCACAGTCCTCATTCTTGAAGTTGATTATTTTAACTTTCAACGGGGAAAAAGGCCTGCAGCTCATTTGCTTGCTTGTCTGCAATTTGAGTTTAGTTCAACCAAATGAGCGATAGTGCTATGAGTAGTTGAGGAAAGTTCTATGATTTTCAAAATGAAATGGTTATGGTCAATATAATGCGTAGCCACCTACTTCTTTTGTTATCTCCACATCTCTGACTTGTAGGATTGAAATCAAGAGCTCCAGAGTCCCATTTTTACCTAAAGATAGCCAAGAATTGAATAGTCTTGGTCGGCTATGCATACAAATGGGACTTTGAGAGTAAATTAACTACCTAATTTGAATGGGTGCATCAGGCTGAAATAGAGGTACATAAAATTTATACTAGAAATTTCCCTACTCTATCATATTCAACTAGATCAAACTAAGAAATTCTTTTTATATATACTAGGAAGTCGAGAGAGAAATGAATCTTTCGGATATTTAGGTTTTGTTTGGTTCATAAAAAATCTCGAAGAATGAAAAATATTAAGAAAAAATTGAAGGAAAACAAAAAAAAAATGAAGGGAACAACAATCAAATTCTTCATTTTGCTTGGATGACAACGAAAACTTTAAGGAAAATTCCTTTTTCTTTTCTATGCACCAAATAATAGAAATTAAGGGCTTTACAAAAACAGCAAAATTAAAGCATTAAATTAATGTAGCTATCAAAATTTCAATTTTTTATTTCCAATTAATTGGTATCAATCAAACCCATATTACTACCTATTACTATACCCAAACAAAGGGAAAAAAGAACTACATATGATAACCTTATATCAATTCCACTTAGATATCCTGGGATAGTAGACAATCCACTATTTCCTAGTTCCTAAGAAATTTAGGGTACTGCTAAATCTTTATATCAAATCTTCCATCCAAATGTGAATTTGAAATTGAATTCTCATGTACCTGAACTTCCTCTTTCTTTTATCTTTTGACTTTCAAATTGATGGGAGAGGCACTTCTTAACTGTTGAGTTGCGTTTATAAGTTCTGTCCATAAGCTATTGGGCTTTCTATTCTTTTTGGGTCTTCAATTTTTTTAGAAATAGATTAAATCGACTTTCATACTTTATCACTGCAATATATCATTTCAATCAAGATATATTTGGGATTTTAACATTGCAATATTTCAATGAAATATGATTATCGATAAAGTGATTGTTGGGATCAATGATTATCGAGAAGATAATATGTAAAATTTAATACATTTACAATATTTACGAAAAAGAAGAAGAAAAAGAGGTCGTTCGAGCAAAATTAGAAAAATAAGTTAGTTTCCCTTCTATTGTTAGGAGAATGTTGCTTAGCAAACGTAGGAATATTTCCACTACTTAAATGCTTGGGAATATGCCATGGAGCCTCCTTAAAGCATTGCTGGTTAAAAGCAGGTGTTATTCCTTAAAATGATTATACTATGAGATCATTTCCCTTATTGCATTTAGCTGTCACCATTCACAAAGACTAAGTTATCATCCTCTTAAAGCATTGACAAACCTGACGATTCAGGAAGGTTATTGCCTTGTGGTTATTGGGCCATTATGATAAATAATAAGTAAACAAATTCTATCAATTCTCATTTAGCTCTTTAGGCACAAATTTTCCATCATATAATTTCAGATTTCATACACCGTTTGACAGTTTAGGAATTACTAGCATTATTCCCTTTCTCTTCACATAATCAAAAGAGATATCAAATATTTCGATATTCAGTCTTAAAGTATCCTTGTACCTCATAATCGGATGTCTGTATTCCGGTTTAGTAATGGTACAGAGTCACACTGTATTCGAGAATAGCATCGCCAGTAGTAGCATTGAAGTAACTGGTCTTAATCTTGGCAAACCCTCTCGCCATCCTGAACTTACCTCTCCCACCCACGATCGCCACTTCACGATCAGCCTCTGTTACCGGATTCCTGGAGAACAAACTGAAGGAACTCCCATTAAACTTGCCAGTCGTAAAGGCAAAATTGGCGTACAAAACTATAGTAAACTTGCTAGCGTCTTGACTGGATGACAGATAGAGCCCCTGTGCGTTTCCGATTATCTTCGATGTTGGTTCAGGCCCTACCCTGAGAGGATCATCGATTGCAAACAAGCTGCCGAATGGGGTCGGGGAATTGTCTTACCTGGTGAGGTTAGCACGGGCTACCATGACTGCACTGGGGTTTTGGCCGCTGAGGATGTCGTGGAGGAAGAAATGGAGATGAGTCTTTTTCTCCACCTTTGCAACAGGCGTAACAGTCTTGGAGTGGTATTCACTATGGACGGATGGTGCGACCGTTAGGCAGAACATCATTGCCCAGGCAAAGATCATCTTTCCTTCCATCTTAATTTCTTCACAGCTTTTTATCATCATAATATATGGCTTAAATAGACATTCTGCTGGATGTTAATTGCTTACCATTTCTGACAAAAATTAACTTAGGAATTCCTGAAATTCTTAGTTGGTGATTTGGTTATATATGCCACTGTGTGGATGATTCAAGGCAGAGAAATCTGGTTGTGATATAATCCTTAAAAGAAATCAATGGTCAGTTTTGTTAGAGAAGGTAAGTACAGAAAAGCAATATCTTTGGTTAGGTTATATCTATAAGCATAAGCCAAATTGAGATATAGGGTTTACTTCTCTCTGCTTTTCTCCTGAATAATTGAAAGAAAAAGTAAAGCCTCGGCTGCACTTGGAATTGGTGGCACATATTAATCTAGGCTAAATTCAAGTCAAGGCTCATCGAAAATGATTTGAATAAAAATTAGTACTATATTTGAAACTGACATCTCTAAAGATTAATACATCTAGTTTAACATACCAACCACACGAATTGTTTGAGCAATATTAAAAGATCTTAGCAAAGTAAATACTGTAAATTTATGTGTACATTATTACCACATTAAAGTTTACCCATTTGATGACATATGTAAAGTTTAGCATCTTGATTTTAATATTGATTGATCTTTCAGATAAAAAAAATCAAAATTAGGCAACAATTATACATTTCTCAGCTTAGTTTTTCAACTTCATAAAAGCCCTTTTTTTTTAATAACTAATTCAAACACAAGATGATCTCATGCTTTGTGCTTGGATGAGCAATCTTGAAAATGAAAGCCTTTTAAATGTATCAATTTAAAGTGATAGCATTTGTAATTGATTATCTGGATAAGTACCTTCTAAAATTAAATTTTAAATATTGTAACTTAATGAGATAAATTAATTATAACAAAGAATAATGGTGTTAGAGATACATATTAAACAAAAAAGGAAAAACTCAAATTTTAATTCCAAAGTCAGATCAAGATGTTGAATTTTTTAATACAATTTATTAATCAAGTGGAGCTGTACCGTATGAGTCCTTACATAAAACTATGTTTTTTCCCCCAAATATAAACAAGAATAGTTGACTCTACAGAACAACATTTCACCGAATGAATACAGTGCCTAATAATGCAAACCTGCAGGAAGGCAATCGGGGATGAAACCTCAGTGATAGAAAAATCTCAAACTTGTCAACCATACAACCAGGCAAGAGAATATATTCTCAAAGTTCATCTTAGTAATGAATTACAGTCACGTTGTACTCAACAATGACAGTGGTCTCATTTAGAAAGTAAGTTTTAAGCAGTGCAAACCCTTTTGCCATCCTGAATTTTCCTCTCCCTCCGACCACTGAAAGCTCACGTTCCTTCTCTATCACCGGATTCCTCGAAAATATGCTTATAGAGCTGCCGTTGAACTTACCCTTAGTAAATCCGAAATCCAAGTACAACACCACCGTCGTTGTATCTTTGCTGGCCGAGACCCCAAGCCCCTGAGCATTCCCAATGACCCCTGAGTTACGCTCGGGACCTACGGTGAGGGGATCATCAATAGCAAATACGCTGCCAAATGGCACTGGTGAACTATTGTCGTTGCTTGTGATGTCAGGCGGGGCTACCATGACTGCGGTAGGGTCTGCTCCGCCGGTAGTCTCATGCAAAAAGAAGTGGAGATTGGTGACTTTCTCCACCTTGGGAACACATGGTAGGATCTGCCAGAGGCAGAGGACCAGAATCCAAGCCAACATCAATGTTCTTCCCATTGGCTCTGCTTTGTTAATTGTATGAAAGTACATATAGATTGCCCCTTGTTGTCTTCTTTGTGTCAAATGTAGATTGTACTGGTGGATTACTTCATTTGGTAAAAGATAAAGAAACAACAAAAACAGGAAAACAATTTATACTCCGAGGAATTTTTCCCTAAGGATTGATGCTATATGTAAGATGGACTAAGACTCCCTTGGCATAACCAGAAATGAAACGATTTATCGTCCAAAATATTTTAGGCATTGAGTTGACTTCTCCTGAATAATAAAAGGAAAAGAAATCCTGATTACACGTAAGAGAAGATTGGTGTATTTAGTTTGCTATGACTTTTAAATAGGAATATTTGTATAAATGCGAATCTCATCACATCATAACTAGGATATATTATATGCCAGAACACGTTTAATTTAGTTCATGTTTGTTAATCCCCGTCCTGTATGGCACGGGACTCCAAGTCAAAAAATCATGGTTGGGGGATTAAGTTTGAATTTGTTAGTTCATCATAGGTTGATCTTGTTTCTCCTCTGTCCAGAGGAAATTAGATCACCAAGGCTAATGAGGTTTACAACTTATGTTCGAAATAAATCGGAAGCTAGGGAAACTCTCTGTGATTAAATTATAAAAGTCAACTGAATGAACGTTACAAAGCAGCGGAAATTCATGATTTATGATGATGGGAGTAAATTATTAAATAAAACCTATCGCTTCAAGCATAGAAGAGAATCATCTCTCAAATATCATCTTAGTAATGAATCACAGTCACATTATACTCAACAATGAGAGTGATCTTATCCAGAGAGTAAGTTCTAAGCAGTGCAAACCCTTTAGCCATCCTGAACGTTCCTCTCCCTCCGACCACTGCAAGCTCACGCTCCTTCTGTGTCACTGGGTTCCTCGAAAACAAGATGATAGAGCTGCCGTCGAACTGGCCCTTAGTGAACCCAAAATCCAAGTACACCACCACGGTTGTGGTATCTCGGTCGGCAAACACCTCGAGTCCTTGAGCATTCCCAATGACCTCTGAGGTTGGTTCAGGACCAACAGTGAGGGGTGCATCGTCGACAACTATGCTGTTGCTGGTGCTAGTGATGTTAGCACGGGCCACCGGTACCGCTGTAGGGTTGTTGCCACCGATAGTGCCATGGAAAAAGAAGTGGAGATTGGTAACTTGCTTCTCCTTGGGAACACATGGCATGGTCTCGGAGTAGTATTGGCTATACACTGCGGCCGCGGGGATGCAGAGGAGCAAAATCCAACTCAATATCAAAGTTTTGTCCATTGGTTCTTCTTTGCCAATTGTTTGTAAGAATAGAATCAAGAACCAGGTCTGCCTAGTTAATGTATATCTATAATCAACTCATCTGGTTGTTTTTTTCTTTCTTTAAGATTGCTGCATAATCAACTCATCTGGTTGTTTTTTTCTTTCTTTAAGATTGCTGCATAATCAACTCATCTGGTTAATTACCTGGTAGGGGTACTATGGGAATATAACCTTATTTTGCCAAAGACAAGAAGTCTGATGGGACCTTAAAATTAATTATGTATGTATATATTTTAACAACAATGGGTAACAAATATTACTACTAATATTTATGGAAAAATTCATTCAATGGTGAAAATTTTGTACTAAATCTTAGTTAAATTCTTATCTAAGTGAGATATTAAAACATGCTAAAGTCACTAAAAAATTTTTAAATAGATAATTTGCTGAATAAAATCTACCAAAATCATACATTACTTTTGAATTTTTTGAATTTTAAATTTAAGTTATCAATTTTTTAATTGAGAAGTTTATTAATTTTTCATTTTTTTTTTGCAGGACAAAAGACAATGAGAAATCAAGCATGAAACAAAGAAAATAAATCCTTAATCCCATATGCCTTTGGACCATGTCAAATTTAGAGGTAGTAAAATGAAGTATTTTCATATTTAAGAAAGATCATTAGAGTGAACATATCTATACGAAGCTGAAAGTTTTTTTTTTTGTTAGACTTCCCCAAAATGGTAGTTCTTATCTACATAAATTTATAAGTCACAAAGTTCTGCTCTGGGTTCTTTGGTTAATGCTGATTTCCTCCTCTTTAAGGTCTCGAAGTCTGGTCTCTCAACTTCCACATCCTGCCTTATCTTCAGTCGCGCTTTGTACCCTTTCTCTTGTATCTTTCCTTGTCTTTCAATCCGATGTTCTGTTAGACCATCCGATGTTCCTTGTCTTTCAAGTATTTTACTACTCATATGGAAAGTCTTCTAATTGTTTTGTCTTAATAGCAAAGAGACTTTTATTACAAATAAGTGCATCAAGTGACAAGTACAAGAGATTTTTTTTCCTTTTTTTTTCTACAATAAAATACAAGAGATTGTATCAGATCATGACAGGGGAACAAACTCTGCTAACCATAAATAATTGAAATTCGAGATAGGTGAATCAGCTCAGTCCCTGCAAACTTATTGCAAACCATGTTGCAAGAAAAATCAAACAGTTTGTCACGCATACCAAAGGGAACCCACGCAATGTTATCTTAGTTATGGATGACGGTCACATTACACTCCACAATGGCATCGGGCATCGCCAGTGGTAAAATTTGCAGTGCAAATCCTTTGGCCATCCTAAAGTTTGCTCGCACGTTCTTACTGACTTCACGGTTTTGTCTCACAAAAAAACACCTCACAATTTAAAAGTGGTGTAAACTTTTATATTTTTAATATCACTCTAATACATAGTTGATGTAAGATTTATGACTCTTTTTTTTAAATCATAACATTCTTCTTTATTCGCCGTTGAGAGTTTCTCTTCAATATAAGACTTTGTAACTCAATCCGTTTAGAGTATTATCTTGGCGGTATGTGATTCACGTCTATGAGGACCGTGACACTCAGCATACCTTGGCTGGCTAACATCGGAGGCCTCGAGCATTTCCAATAACCTCTGACTTCAGGTCAGGACCAATGGTGAGGGGATCATCAGTGGCAAAAATGCTTCTGAATGGTGCCGGTGTGTTGTTGAAAGCGGTCGTGATGCTGGGACCTGCTACCATGACAGCAGAAGGTTTTTTGCCGCTGACAGTGTCATGTCAAAAGAAGTGGAGTTTGGTAACTTTCTCCACGGCACGAACATATGGCTCGACCTGGCAGTAGTAACATTGGCAACATGCTGGCGCCTTGGCAGTGCAGAGGATCAGAAGCCAAGTCAAAATCAATCTTCTTTCCATTGTTTACTTCTCCCCTGCCTTAGAAATAATGGGATTGCATTACTATGCATATTGTAAGGGTATAATAGCACTTACATGTATCTTAATAGCCATTAATTAGCCAATGATTATAATTTAAAGAAGCAATATATACTCCCATCATATTGTTTTATTTAAATTCAATTCCTTGTTTAATTTGTTGAGGTTTTGAAATTTAAATCGATTCTCTCTCTCTCCCTGTTGTTGATGGGCGGTGATAAAAAATTTTTTAGCAGTGATGGAGCTTTATAAGAAAGAAATTTAATTTATCTGTTACAACTGGTTGGTGCCCCGAATCCTTGTAAATCTTATTTAATTAAACTGGTCAAACTTCATGTGAATGGTGCTTTGCGTCCATTCCCTCCCTTCTTTATTTTATTTTGAAGAACGATAACTTACTTGTGATAAATATGATTAAATAATCATGATTCATGCCATTGTTTAACTGCGAACAGTCTTGTTCTTTTTGTTGGAAGACAGACAAGAATTTTTGTTTTTGCTTGACAGCGAAATGAATTATTTTGGAATAAAGTACAAGAAATAAGCGATGAATACAAGATGAGAGAATAGACCAGCACAAGACAGGGCATTACAGTCACAAAAATCGAATCTCAGTGATGAATCACAGTAGCATTACACTCCACAACGGCATCACCAGTTGAGAAATCAGCGAAGTGAGTCTTAAGCAGTGCAAACCCTTTGGCCATCCTGAACTTTCCTCTGCCTCCAACAATGGCAAGCTCACGCTCCGTCTGCGTGATAGGATTCCTTGAGAACACGCTGATGGAGCTCCCATTGAACTTACCCTGAGTGAACCCAATATCCCAGTAAACCACCAAAGTCAACACGTCTTGGCCGGTGGAAGTCCAGAGGCCTCGAGCATTCCCAATGACCCCTGACGTTAGGTTAGGACCCACGGTGATGGGATCATCAGTGGCATAAACGCTGCCGAATGGGATCGGTGTGTCGTTGAAGGCGGTGGAAAAGTTAGGACGGGCTACCAGGATAGCAGTGGGGTTTTTGCCGCTTATAATGTCGTGAAAAAAGAAGTGGAGTTTGGTGACTTTCTCCTTCGGAGGAACATATGGCTTGCTATGGGAGTAGTAACCTTGGCAAGGCGCCATGGCGGTGCAGAGGACCAGAACCCATGTCAATATCAATCTTCTTTCCATAGCTATTTTCTCCTTTCTCTCTTAATTACAAATGATGGGAATGAACTGTATTATGCTTATTTAATTAACCCTCACCATCCCTAGTTTATATAGATCATAGAATTGCCTCCTTTGGTCAAATAATATAGTAGAACTCTTTGTATTCATTAGGCTTTCCTTTGAAGAAACAAATGCGTTTGTACGCGGTCCATCCACCTGTCCTCCTTAGCCAATATGGGCAGCGCTGCATTACGTCGAATGGAGGCAAATTGACCCATTCAAACATTTATAAAGCACTACATATTTTCAATGATAAAAATTTTGATAATTTTTTGCACAATCAATTCAGACGGCATGTAATACATTCTATGGGGCTGCTATCTCTTGATTTCTCTCCTTTTTTTATTTGTAAACTTTTCTCCATTATTTTTTTTATTACAACAAAAATATTCTTATTTTTTCTATTATATAATCACACATGTAATGCATGCAATGATTTTAAATTCCATTTAAATGAATTCTTATATATCACGGATAAACTTGAGAATATTTCTTAAATTATACTATTGGACATATAATATATATATATAATTTTTAATTCAATTTAAGTTTACTTGTCTCTCTCTTTGATGAATGGGAAACAATAATGGAGCTTAATTTCAGCAAGAAATTCATTCGAATTATAGTTGACATTCGTGATTGTGACGTGGAGTCGTGCTAAGTTTTGGGTTGATTTTATCCATAGTCTTTATCTGTTACAGCTTGTTATTTGTAAATAAAAAATTACTTTAAAAATATAATTTATTAATAATCCATAGTTTGTCCCTTTCGCATTTGCTAATCACAGACAACAAATTTTTTTTGGGGTACATGACAGAGAAGAATTCATATGAAAATGTTAGCAATTTTTATTCATGTTATGAGATCTCAGTGGAGGTTTCAAGGAGAAAATTGATATTATGGATTACCCTTATATCTTTTTCACAACAAAGAGAATTTTTTTGGGAAGGATCAAACCAGCTCATAAAAGGGGAATAATCTCTGCCCTAAAGTGGGTTAAATCCCAAACAATTGAACGTCATGATATATCAATCAGCTCAGTCCCTACAACCTGTCAACGCCTGGTAAGTAGTCAGGCCAGGAGCCAACTTTATTGCTAGGGAAAAAACCAAAAACTAGACAAACATGGAAGAGAACTGACAAAATGTCATCTTAGTGATGAATCACAGTCACTTTATACTCCACAATGGCATCACCACTCGTAAAATTCACGAAGTAAGTCTTAAGCTTTGCAAACCCGGTCGCCATCCTGAACTTTCCTCTCCCTCCGACCACCGCTAGCTCACGCTCCGTCTGTGTAATTGGATTCCTTGAGAAAACACTGATAGAGCTACCACTGAATTCACCCTTAGTAAACCCAAAATTCAAGTACACGGTCAGAGATAAAACGTCTTGGCCAGTCGATACCGAGAGGCCTTGAGCATTTCCAATGACCTCTGATGTTAGGTCAGGACCAACGGTGAGTGGATCATTCGTGGCGAACACGCTGCCGAAGAGCCCCAATCTCACGTTGAAGGCGGTTGTCATGTTTGGACGGGCTACCATCACTGCAGAAGGGTTTTTGCCGCTGATAGTGTCATGTAAAAAGAAGTGGAGATAGGTTACTTTCTCTGCCCGGGGAACATAAGGGACGCCGTCGGAGTAATAACCTTGGCAACACCATGGAGTCATCGCCGTGCAGAGGACCAATATCCAGACCACTATCAAACTTCTGTCCATTGGTGATTTCTTAGAAATAACGGGATTGTTCTACTCTGATTATTCTACGGCTAATGAACCCCCCACGTTATTTTGTTCTCCATTCATTGAATATGTATCTCTTGATTTCTCTCCATTTTGTT